TCACCATCCTTGCTTCTAAGGAGCATTCTGGCTGTACTTCTTCTAAGACAGATTTGTTCGTTCTTTTGGCAGTTCATGGTATGTTCAATATTCTTCACCAACACCATAATTCAAAGACATCAATTCTTCTTCTGTCTTCCTTATTCACTGTCCAGCTTTCGCATGCATATGAGGCGATTGAAAACACCATGGCTTGGGTCAGGTGCACCTTAGTCCTTGAAGTGACTGCTTTTCAGCACTTTAAAGAGGTCTTTTGCAGCACATTTGCCCAATGCAATGAGTCTTTTGATTTCTTGACTGCTTCATCCATTTAAATGGACCACCATCTAAATGATGGTAATTCCCAGACGGTTCTCTCCACTCCCAACCTCTCTCTGTTCTGTGGTCTATTAGGTAGCTCTCTCACTGTGTCTCAGAGGCGCTTCAGATTCAGCAGGATTTAAACTGAGTCGTCGTTTTCCTGCTTCTGCTTTATTCCCACTGCCTGTCAGGGTCACCAGCAGCCTAGACTTGTCTCTCTTGTCCCACATTCAGGCAGACACTGAGTCACATCAACTCAGCTGTGGAAACCTCTCTCAATAGTTTTCTTTCCTTTCCATTCCCCTTGTCACTGCATTAGTTCACGCCCTTGTTCTTTTGTTCTGAATACATTTGCTCTGAGTCATGAAAAATTCGCTTCAAGCCTCACATCTCTAGGCCTTGCACCAGCTGTTCCCTCTGTCTGGTTCACCTTCTCCTGCCTGCCCCACTTCACTGCTTGAAGAACCAGCCTTAAGTCACCTTCTCAGGGAAGCCTTCACTGACTATTTTCATTAACCTCCTTCCTTTAGTCTTTGTGCTCACATGTTAAGTTTGTCATAACCTGTAACCTGTTGCCGTCAAGTCGATTCCAACTCATAGCGATCCTATAGGACAGACTAGAACTGCCCCATAGAGTTTCCAAGGAGCGGCTGGTGGATTTGAACTGCTGACATTTTGGTTGGCATCTGAAGGCTTAACCACCGCGCCATCAGGGCTCCAAAAGTATTGCTGTTGTTAGCTGCTGTCGAGTTGGCCCTGACTCATGGTGACCCCATGCACAACAGAACAAAACACTGCCCAGTCCTGCACCATCCCCATTATCGTCTGCAGATCAGACTGTGGTGATTCATAGGGTTTCATGAGCTGATTTTCAGAAGTAGCTCACCAGGCCTTTCTTCCTAGTCCCTCTTAGTCTGTATTCTCCACTGAAACCTGTTAAGCATCATAGCAGCAAAGCAAGCCTCCAATGACAGATGGGTGGTAGCTGCGCATGAGGTGCATTGGTCGGGAATTGAACCCCCGTCTTCCACATGGAAGGCGAGAATTCTACCACTGAACTACCAATACCTTCTTCATAGTCCCCTGATAATTGATTTGCTTGTCTGACTCCTTCCCTGCTCTGAGAGGTCTATGACTGAGGACAAGGACTGTAACCAACTTAGCTTTGTCTTCCTAGTACCGAGTGGCTTGTCTGAATCAGTGAATCATGAGTGGATGTATACCCTAGGTTCATTAGGGAGATTTAGAAGAGTTGTTTGCATAGTATTACAGTGTTCAACCTGTTTCTTTAGTCTTACTAAATTTTTGAAATGTAATTTTTGAAATCTTCCACGGTTGAAAATAATCAGTGGTGGCATTATTCACTTATATAAAATATTTTCCCTTCCCCTGCCGTTTGCGACAACGGACGGCATGATTATTGTTTGACCTATGTTTTTGTTCATCTTGGTAGCCTCTTCTCCCCTTATGCTGTTGATAAGAGATTATAACTTCATTGTGTGGTAATTTAAAAACAGACTCTGGGTTGAACTTTGGTTATGGCGCTGAAGTTTTGTAGACACTAGTGAATAAACTAACCTCTTAGTAGACGCTTTGTTTATCTTGTTTGGTTCCTGTCCATCAGTGAAGGAGCCCTGGTGGTGCAATGGGTTATGTGCTTGGCTGCCAACCGTAAGGTCAGCAGTTTGAACCCACCATCCACTCCATGGGAGAAAGACGTGGCAGTCTGCTTCCATAAAGATCTACAACCTTGGAAACCCTATGGGGACAGCTCTACTCTGTCCTATAGGTCACTGTGAGTAGGAATCAACTCAGTGACAATGGGTTTTAGGGTTGTGTCTTAGTCACCTAGTGCTGCTGTAACAGAAACACCACAAGTGGATGGTGTCTCAGTCACCTAGTGCTGCTGTAACAGAAACACCACAAGTGGATGGTGT